AAGTGTTATCACACCTCCACTCTGCTCAGACCAGCTGCTAATCTGGTGTGACTCGTCAGTTCTAGATGCATCTCTGATCTCTTCACACATAGACCATTCAAAGTAAAAAATATATAGTTTCTGTAGATAATCTTCTTGCAGACCTTGCAGCAGTAAACTGTTTGCATGTCAGACGGCCTGAGCGACGCCTGTGTGGAATGTCCCGTTCCTAGAAGATCTCTAGCAGCAAATCACTTTATAGCTCAGGACTAAACACTTCCCCTCAAACTCGACCTTGGGTACAGGCTTACTGGCCAAACACCACATCACATGAGACACATGGGCCTTTGTCCTCACTCTGCCATTTTTCAGGGTGCAACTCCTCCTGGAAGCATCTGTGAGAGTGTTTAGTCCCTGACTTTACTGAGATTGAACCTTCTTAGTTTTACATTCATTTGTTCCTCACAGTGAAACAGACGATGGACAGGGAAGAGAAAGGAGGAGGAAAACTCCAGATCACTCTGCTTAAGCCTCTGTAGGAGTGTCCTGCACTGGACTGGACTTTAAGCAACATGCACTGTAGACCCTGAGTGCCGTTTAGAGGTAACCCTGTACAAGATGTGCAGCAATGCTGATCCAATAATGCCTTAAAACCCATATTCTTGTGTTTCTAAACACAGGGCACAGTCAATGACCAGACGGGAAGCCTTTTGCTCTCAGGTCTGGATTCACTCCAACCACATGGCGAGACTGTTGACATTTTATCACATCCAGTATGGTCCAAAGTGTAAGAAGGGCAGAGTTTGACACCAAACAGACTATTAATAGTCAGTGGAATAAACATAGGAAAAAAAAGGAGTGGAGAAATATCAGAAAAGTAGGAGCTTTAAAGGAGAAAACAATACTGGACCAGCCTCCAGTCAGTGTGTGTCTTTGTGGGCACTTCAGATAGACTTGTGTCTGGGTTAAGTTTGTTCCTCTGTGGTCTTTGGCAGCTAAGAACACATCAAGGGTGGAGAACAGATCCAGTGACTCCTAAGATTCTTTCAGCTTCAGGCCTGAGGTTTCCATCGTCCTCCTCCTTTTCCAAAAACCGATTGAACCCTGAGAACGAATGATTTCTGTTCCTGTTTCCCGCTGCAGAAGAAGTGATAAGACTACACTGGTGAACACGAGCAAGCCTCGCCCTCTCCCCTACAAATACACACAGGCATGCATACATCGCATGGGACTGCACAGCCAAAAACATCTTATTTATATATTTCTACTGCATACAAGTGAAAAGCTGAGCAGAAAAATGTAGGCAGGATCCGAGAGGAATCAAAACACGATGGCTGCTAAAGCCTTCATCACTGCAGCTTTTAACCCTTAAAAACTGAACTAATAATAACAACACCTAACAAAGCCAATATTTTTCTGACAGGCAAGGTTTGAAAAGCAGTGAGACTTCAGAGGCTTTCAGGCACAAGATGGCTCAATATTTAGCTATTGGCCACAATGCTGGACTGGTTGCACTTCTGTTTGACCTCTTGTCTCCTTGGAAGGATAAACCAGGATTTCTCTAAACGTGCCTTCACTAAAATAGAGTTTTTTCCATTTCTAGTTTTGTGGCGCAAGTATTTCAGCAAGCTAACAAATCTGAACTGTAATTCTGATTATCTGAGCTTAATCTCTGGTAAAAACACCATTCCTTCCTTTAATTTTGGCAGATAAACAGCCAAATCTAAGTTCTAGCATGAAGCCAATAAAATCTAGAGACTTGTGAAGACAGGAAAGTGCTGATGAAACGAGAGTGGAACAGCTTCTTAAAAAAAATAAATCTACTTGCTTATTTGAGGTGACCAGTTACTTTGACATTACATTCTACTAAACACTGCCGTCATTTTTACACCTCTTACCTGTCTGACATCTACGAACAATACGAAGCTCTAACAGCTCTAACATCTCTCACATAAAAGAGCTTTTAAAAAGAAGAAAGAAGGAGGAGGAGCGTGGAAAAAGATGACATTAAAAAACCAACACGTTTTGGTCTGAATGTGTGATGTTGGTACGTTTCCCCTCTGAGTGTACAGAGCTATTTACAGCCACAAACAGCCTTTAAAAGAAACTCTTGGTACCAAAGTGCATTTATCCTGAGATATGAACCAAGGACTATAGAGATTATCATGGCTAAACCACCAAGGTCCCCTTAAACAGACAAGCAAACATTTGGTATCCGGGGCCAGTCGCTGCGATTAATTCATTCTGAAACTAACAAAGTGCTGGCACACTGGTTCCATATCAGTCCATGGGGAAGAGAATAAAATCACTAAGGTCAACACTGTAAACTATAGACCCTGATATGGACCTTTACAGTGTGCAGTGCCATTGTCCTCGATCTTTGCAAATCCATGCCTGAGCTGAAGCCATTTGGGTGGGCAGCTTTTCTGACAGTGGCTCGTTTACTCACGAAATTTGGGTCTAAAGTCTAACCCAACTTCCATTTTTCCTGTTAAAACCTCAACTCAGCTCAGAAAACTCCAATAGGACCTCATAGCCACTGAGCAGTCACAGCACTGTAGGATCACACTGCTATACTGAGCCCAGTAATCAACTGATGGTGCTCGGGTCTATCTGGAGTCATTTGGTCTATGATGCCTCGCTTTAGCTGTTAACATTCATTTCATGTATTAAAGTGATCGCATTCACTTGAAAGCAGACAAGTAAAGACACTGACTTAATCAAAGTCATGCAATTGTGAATGAATGAGGACAAGCTCAGCCAGACCCACAGTGCCAAAGCATTTCACCTCAGATGACCGACCATCAGTTCAAACATTAATTGGGCCCAGCAGGTCCCCCATTGACAGCATAGATTCATTTGAACCACCCCACAGCCTCTCAGTCCCTCACATCTACTGAAGATATAAGACACGTGCAGCAAGCAGCATGGTTGTGCCATTCTTTAGTCTTTATCAACCATAATCTTTGAAAACAAATGTATGATTAGGTTTGCTGACCCCTCCGACTGAGGGTCTATCGGATGGCAAGATAAACAACAACATCAATAACAACAACTGTAGCCAGAAAACAAGGGGCTGTTTCAAAAGGCAACTGTGACTCAAGAGAAAATAATCCAAAGAAAATAAAATAAAAACAAAACTTCTACTCACATTAACTGATTGTTTCACACAAGCTACACAACATTGCCACCACTGCTGGTCTTAGAGACATTAAAAGCCTACCTGAGACTGACAGAAGCAGCTTTCGTCACATGACCCGAAACCTTACTGTGCTGCTGCATTGGAGGAGGAAGAGGAAGAAGGGGGGGGAAAAGAAAAAAAAAAAAAAAAAAAAAAAAAAAAGGAGCAGTCTTGGCTGTCAGTGAAACCTACAATGTTAAAACTCAGCTATTCAGCAAGAGTAAGCCTTCAATGGCTGGCCAACAGCGTCAGAAATGAATTAAGTTACATTCAATGCACCCATTCCTCCCTCCTTGCTCTCAATCATGATTTGGTCCCCCTCAAAAAGAAAGAAGAGCTCTTCCTACCAACAGTACTGCTGCCATGACCTGTGTGATAGCTGCTCCTGCAGAATACTGCTGCTGTTCTAACATGGCCTCACCAAGAGTTTGGAAGCTGTTACAAAAGAGATTACTTAAATCACAAATATACATATGGCATTAAGGAACAAAACCCCGTTTTCTCTTAAAAAAAAAAAAAAAAATATGAAGGACTACTTGAAGATGTTTTTGACCTCAGAGCCCTCCAGCGTCATGATTTTTGACTTTGTGTCATGCATCCCTTCTGCGTTCTTACAAACAACTGGAAGGCTCTGAAATCAGAAAGGCAGAGATATTCATCCTGAAAGTAGAAAAAGAGTTTCTAGTTGTCGTTTTGTGATGAGCTGAATTTTGTAGTTTGGCCCTGAAAGCGAGTCAGAATACGGGGCTTCCCCATTTAGCTAACGCTGAGGTTTCCCTAGAAAGTCAACAAGTGAGCAGGGTGCAAAGTGTGTTGGCAACAAGCATGTAACAATATTCTCCTCAACACCATCGGTAAGGATCTCAAAACCCCTAAACTATTTTGGCTTTGAGTCGCGCGCGCGCCCCCCCCCTCAATAATTATCAGTCATGGTGATGACACGGCTGTTACATTAAAACTCACTAGCAGCAGCCACAGCCATTTTACAGTGGCGTTTCCCACCCGGCTGGCAAGGCTCTCGAACTAGTGGACAAGTGCACGAGATGCTCTTTCAGAGCAACAGAAGAAGCAGCTATGGTTGTGTTACCCAGGAGGTTACTAATCAGTAAGTTTACAGACTCCAGACAGATGGACACAGAGCAATGGTTTGTTAAAAAAGATTTAAAAAAAAAGAAAGAAAGAAAAAGAGAAACAAAAGAACTAAAGCTAATAGCTTGTGCCTGAACACACAACCCTTCTTAAATTCCTACAGTTCATCACTCAACCCGCCTGCCTGTCCTGTTCTAGCAGTGAGCAGGATAATAATATATCTCTATTTAAATACACACAAAGCCAATACAGGCAAGGGAACCACCACGCGGGAAGAAGGAAAAAGAAACCTCAACTGGGTTATACAAAGAGCAAGGAGGGATGGAAACAGTCAAATTAAAAAACAAAGGAAAACAAAACAAATCAAAAGGTACATTACACAGATGCTCCAGAGGTTATTAAGGTGAAGGAGAGAGCTCTGAATACTTGTGGGCAAGACCAGACCAGACTGAGCTGAGCGGGCGCTGGAAGCCGCACGCTGACCCACAAACTAAAACCTGTGAAGTCCTGCCAGCTGTCAGATCTCTGTGTGATATTCAAACCGAATGCTTTTCAGATTGTAATTAGCAATCCAGTTTTAAGTGAATACTCCTATCTGCAATATACATATATTTAAAACATCAGAAGCTGAATCCATTTTTCAAGCAACTGGCCAACTGGATAATAAGAGCAGCAAAGCAAGACGACGTTGAAAAATGGTCAGACTTAATTATGGAAAAAAAATTTAAAAAATAAAAACAATCAGCTCACGTCAGTTCACATAATTTATAGACTATTCTTAAGCTCCACTTTAGATTTTTCGTTGGGTCTTGGTCTGGTCTGGTCTTGACACAGTTTAGGCTGTGATGTCTTGGGTTTGCCATCCCCTGTCTACATGCCCATGCTGAAGGCGCGCAGCTCATGATGGAAGTGCTGGGTGGGTTCGGACAAAAACACGCTGGAATCCAGGCAAGGCTGCCAGACACGGCCGAGGCCCAGAGAAACCTCCTTCACCAGGTTGTGGACTGGGTCGCCCTCTACGCACACCGACTGGTCTGGATCAAAGTCGATGCTCTCCTCGGAGACGGTCAGGACACGGAGGCTGGAGCCTCGCAGTCGGGAGATGGCCACCAAGTTATGGGACCACACAGTGTAACCTAAATGGATTCAGGAATTAATCATTCAGATTTCAAAGCTAATAATGAACATGTTTTGCAGATTTATACTCGAAACAAACCATAACAACTTCTTTTTAATACGGCCTACAGGAAGGCAAGACTGCCAATGAACTCTGCAGTTACTTTACTGCTGGCTTCCTTCAAGCTACATTAGCTCTCCTGCTAGCAGCCAGTGCACTACTGCCGATGCGCAGTGTAGTAAGCATACCACTGAATTAAATAATAGTCTGTAGACTGGCTTTTAAATATATTTTAAAAAAATACAATTATTCAGCTTTTTCCAGGGATGCAATCTAAAAATATTGGACTGGTGTGTCCACAGTCACAACAGTAAGTCCACAGCTTGCTGCACTGTTTAGAAAACAGTCACTACAGGCTTGTTTTGTATGGAATTATTACCACTAGCCACACAGATCTGACCAACTACAGCTCACATTCTATCAAAGAAACAAAACTGAACTCACCATGTATCACGAGTACAGCCAGCTGAGTACATCTCCATGTCAAGAGGACCAAAGGGTCTTCGTTACGATTGATGCTGAGGTCAGGGAAGTCAGGGCCATCCCTCAGGAGCAGGAAGTGAGTCAGCGTTTTGTTGTACTGCTGGGAGATCAGCTCCAGTGTGGCGTCGGTCACCGGCATGCTGTAACTGTCGAGGTGAAGTCGCTCGAGGGGAAGGCTCGGCTTTAGGACCCTGAGGAGCTCAGAGCTGTCGACCTCCAGGGCCATGACGTACACTCGCAGGTTGGCGCTTACACGAACCTGGGGAAGACCAGGTAAACTTACTGATATGCTACAATTTACTAAATACACAGAGCCTCAATTCAGCATGAAATAAAAGCCACAATACAGAATCACAGCAGTACCAGTGCCTTCCAGTTATCCTCTGTAGCGGTCCCTTCTAATGATTTAAACTCCAGGGTGGCCCCGTTGAGCAGCAGGGAGAGGCGATGAAGTGGAGTTCGCCGTGGAGATGCCAGCAAACCACAAAGCTCAGATGTAAAGTCAGTAAAATCGAGAGCCAGAGAATGAAGGTTAGAGAGGCGATCCAACTCAGATGGGGAGACGAGGGGCCCTGAGGGAAATTCGGAGGAAAACTTTCAGTTATTCAGCATTACTGTCACATAATGTTTACAAACTATATGATGTAACAGACATACCTAGCTGATGGTCCAGTAAACTTAGGTGCTGTAGGGTCTCAGCTGAAGGATTGGACAGGCAGGATAAAGAACAGGAAGTCACCAGGCCCAGCATGAAGCTACAAGACAGCCACCTCAGCTGCCTGCTGTTGGAGAGGACCTCCATAAACAACTGTTGGATTCTATCGAGAGACAAAGAAAGACCATTTAAAAAACCAGAATGACTACAGCTGCCGTCAAATCTGGTTTAAAAAACAAAAAACAAAACAATCCCCAAAATCATTCCTGACAGTGGAGTAAAGAAAGAAAAGATCATCAGGGTATATACACTTTCAAAATGTCCCGACTTTATGTGTTTAAATGTAAGCCTAAAATGGATCTATTGTAATGATGTCCAAACAATTTCGACACACACACTACAATCAGACTGGTGGAGCTATGCTCAGCAACTTGGTGCATTTCACACAGTGTTTTATGGCCAATTGTGTCTACAACACAAACCACAGAGCACAGAAGCTACACTGAAATCTCATTTTTATTTAAACATCACTTACTGAACTACTGCTCAGCTACAAAACAAATCCACAACTGCTGTGAATGAGACAAAAAGCTATCAAGGCAGGCAATGATGTGCATGTTATTCTGAAAAGCCAGTAGTCCATGTGCTCTGTAAGTTAAACTGACATTAAAAACACCTGACACAAACCGGCCAACTATGAAACGCTTCGCCAGTTAAGTGAATGCTATTGATCATACTGTTACAGTGGATCACTCTGCTGAGGAATCTGGGATCCTTGCATTCATGTGGATGTTACTGTACATCAGTAAAAACTGCAGCTGGACAATACGCTCTGGACCTCAAGAAACAAAAACAAGGCACTGTCCTCATCCTCTAAATACCCTAAGAAATCCCATGTACATGCCCCAAAAAGTGAGAGCTGTCTGGGAGGCATACTGGACACAAACACTGTATTAAAAAAAACGAGGTTGTGTGACCTTCTTCATAGTCCACTTCTCATCATTGAGACAGGGAGTGAATCTACATGTACCTATCAGAGCATGGCTATCCATCATCCACCATAACGTGTGTCCCAAATACAAAAACACTCAGAGAATGACGGGAAATAAATAAGAAATAGCAGCAGGAGGGCCGAACTCAAATGCAATGACTGATTTAGGCTGCTGCAATTAATAAACACAAATTGACAGAACATAAAACTGGATTCAAGTCATAACATTTTCTGTCTTTTTACTTTAACACACACACACTCTCACTCTCTCTCTAAAGCCAGGAGCTTTTCTTTCAAGCTGTAAATATGTTTCTTAAAGCTGTAAAGTTGGCCATTTAAAAAATGGAGTCTATTGGGACTGATTTGCTTTTGGAGCCAGCCTCAAGTGGCCAGCATTTTTGGCACTTCCGTATTGGTTTAATTCATTTGCTGTCTGCTCAGTGCAGAGGTGTGTACATGCATTCAGAGTTGATGGGAATCAAAATTTTCCATCAGGGTTGATATACATAGACGTTGGATACTGGGTTATGTAAATGACCACTATTTAAAGCCCTCAGTCTTTTAAACACCAACAACACACAAAAACAAACGCTCCTTTTTCAGAGACTCAATGCTTTGCTTTGCTACTCAGTTTTCTAGGCGGAAACCAGACACACACTTTGAGTGTTTGACGTGGACAAAGACTGTCCTGTGATGAAAAACTGTCTTTTCTTAATTTTGTAAATTAATTGCCCTTTAGAGACACCAAACACCGCAGACTTTCCATAACAACAAGAAGATGCAGTTTTGGAAATATTACTCATTCACACCCACATGCAGCTTTAATTATCACATTTGTCAGTCATTTCAGTGAAACCTGTTTTCATGCTTCGATGTTGTGACTTACTCATTGATCTTTTTGTCCCCCTGGTGGATTACATGCAGGTGAGAGCTGTCTAGTAGTCCCTCTTGCTGGAGAATGAATGTGTCTCCATACAGACTCAGCTTCTGCAGATTTCTGAATAGACAAAGACACGTACAGTTAGAGAAAAAAAAAATAAAAAAAAAAATTTGCAGTTATTACTAGAACACCTGTATCAACAGCAGCAAGTCAGATGAGTCATCTGATCCAAACAACTTAAAAAAAAAGGTTTCACCTGTTAAACAAACTGCAGCAATTTTGTTCAGTGTAATTTAGTCTTCACTTCTCCTGAGCTGCTTTCTATCCCGCACAGAATTATGGCTGCCCTGCACTTTCCCGCAGTGCTGTTGAAAGCCCTTTATATGCTGGCACCCAAAATAGATTGGCAAAGATCAAGCAGCAGTGTATACGCCAAAGTTGATTCTTTCGAACACTGATGCAGTCAATGTAAGCATAGTGGTCACAATGCAGCCAATTACCTTGTTTCAAACAGACGATCTACACCTCTTTTGATAGTAATGTTTGGAAGATCACCAACATAAACGTGGCGAAAAGCAGAAAGGACGAATTTCTTTATAGGACCGGTTACAAACATAAGAGGTAAGGGCAGGTTTATCTGCAAATAGGATGACATTTTCTTTCACATCAGTGTTGTTTTGGCTAAATGAACCAACAGGATTAAGAGGCAATAGATTTATTCATGTTATAAACGTATTGGAAAATTTACATTTTAACATTTTAAGCCATTTTATCACTTCAGTTTAATTTGGTCAGACATAAGTTACAATCAAATAACTGCAAATGACAATAACATGTATATGAATATCTTAAGAAATCAGTTAACACTATTTTTACTGTTTTCATAATGATTGTGCTTAAAGTCAGCATCCCTATGAATGATAATGACGACCTTTAAATAGTCCAACAGTACAACGACACAAGATACCAACAGCCATTACATTATAAACAAATATGAACCTTATCTGGGTGATGTGTAGTCTTCAAATAATAGTCAAACAGGTTCCATTAACCCAGAATTTCATAATTAGTGCATCCCTACAATCAACACTTCGCAAAGTGCCATCATTTATTGAAAATAGTTCCTGTTGTAGGCCATTTTCCCAACATTTTTAAATGTCTGAATTAGCCAACTCAATACTGATGGGAACATATCCCCTGCATAAGTGTCGCACATGCACCAGTGCAACCACAAGGGTTTCATACAGCCGCACATGGCACAGGCGTACCTGCAAGGTGAAGCGCATGTTACATTTGATATACCCACTTCCTGTGTATCTGCTGAGAGTTCAGGTTTATGGGCTCATGTGCAGCTACTTAGTGCCCTTAGAAAGAAACAACAACTTGCCTGTTCTCATTATTCGGAACATATGTCAGTGCTGGTGGAGCTGGCTCAGTGCACTAAATGAAAGGAACAACCCCCCCCCAGAAAACAACAACAAAAAACAAAAACAAACAAACAAACAAACAAACAAACAAACAAACAAAAAACAGGCTTTTCATTACCCAATAGCAAGCTCTGAAGTTAGAGGTTGTAGTCCTGATCTTTTCAAAACTACCATGCACAAAACAGACCATGGTTCTTAGATTCTCATAATGCTTCATCACCATGATGAGATCAGTGGAACAAGTTCATCCATTTATTTCAGTTCTGCTTTCCCCACCAAGCCCACTTTCACAATTTTACATCTGGATGAACCCAAATTTGTCACATTTTAAAAGTGTGTTTGAATAAATCAGGTGTCTGGAAGTGGATTACCACAGATAGATCATTATTGGTGTCTATATGTTGCCTGATACACACCGATAGTCAGTGAAAGTGTTGTGTAGGAAGTGGGAGAACATCCTTCCTTTGCCGCTGAAGCTTATAAAAACAACAGCCTGTTACTGAACTGAAACGTTATCAGTTAAAAGACAGCATTGGCACCAAATGCAACTTTCTGGATCTAGCTAGTAAAGCTGTACACCAGCAGGGAAGTGGGAAAGGGTTTAAGTTATCCTTAAACTGAAACAACTTTAAAACAAACAACAAAATAATGTCAAATATTTCAACCCCTTTAGTAGAATTAAGACAAAGCAACCAGTTTTGAATGCCAGCATCACAAAACACTGTAAAGAAGACGGGAGAAGGTGGAAAAAGGTGTGACACAGCTGCACCAATGAAATTAGAAGCGTTAACAGTGTCAAATTTTGACAGAGTAGGAGAAATTATCCTTTGTGTGTGTGAGAGAGAATATAAGTGATCACGTCCTACAAACGGACAACAGGCTAAATACATCCACACACTGTATATTTGTGTGTGTGTGTGTGTGTCAGTGCTGATATCAGCAAGTCACAGCCAACAAAGCCTTCTAGCCTCCACCAGTGCTGCATTGTACCTGCTGCTATGGAGAGACCATAATGAGAAGTGTAAAATAGGACAGGTGACAAAAGGCATGCAGATGCCTCGCACATGCACCACCATTTAATTTATGCATGCAAAGGTGCCCTTAATAAACCATATGCATAACGCTTGCTGCCACTGCAAAGACCTGGCATGATTACGTAACTCCTAATGCCAGGGTTTGTTTATAGCTAACTGAGCTAGCCAGTTGCTAGCTCACTGCGACGCATCTAAACCCGAGAAATTAAAAAAAAACAAAACAAAACAGGGCGAACATGTCAAGCGAATTTTTCACTCCAATTAAAAATATCAAAGCAGACATTTTCAGAGGTTATTTTCTAGTATTACCTATTGTTTCGGATGCTGGTGAACACACATAACACCTGGTCCAAGTAGGTGGCCACGGCATCCCTCCATCGCTCCTTGTGCTGCGGGTCGCTATCGGGACCCGGAGGCTGGTCCACTCTGGCGGACGACGGGTCGCTGTTCTGATGGCTAAGGTTTCCTTCCACCGGTGCGAGTTCTAGCTGCAAGTCTCGCACAAAAGAGCCAAACTTTCGCATAAGGAACTCAAGCTTCGGGGTTTCGTCAGAGCTGGAGCATCCACCACCACCTATTCGCAGTTTGAGCTCGGTCCACAGCGCGGGGTAGAACAAACACTCCCTCCAGCGAGAGCACACAGCCGAGGCCCGGAGCTTGTCTCGGTCGGACAGAAAGGAGAATATGTGGACAATAAGCTCGCTGGGCAAAGCCATGGCTCCGACACCCCCGCACAGAGCCATGGCGAGCTAAAAACGGCAAAAGCTGCTGTCGAAAAACCAACCAGACGTAAACGAAATGTCACAACCGTTTATTAAAGCGACGAGGTAGCAGCTGCGAATAGCAGCGACGTTTCTTCCTCTCGGCAAAAACAAACCGTTTTCAGCTTTGCCTTCAATACTACTGGAACGTACCACTCCACCGAATTACACGGGGACGGAAACAATCCCCACAAACCTTATCAAAGCATCCATCGCAGGTATTTCTTTTTTATTTCCTAACACTAATATTTTATTCTACCACGCTGATGACTTAGTGGTATTTTCATCAGATTTGGAGTAACCCGTGGCCGCATCGATACCTTGTCACTTGAATGGTTTCATCCGAAGGTGCTGTTATTTTTGCCATACTGACGTGCTCCGTTAGAGGGCAGTGTTTCTCGGCTGGAAAAAACCCGAGCCTCCACATGATCTTTATTTTGGAGTAAGTTTCCAGCACGACACACCCCCTCCAGTTCATGCCACACTCAAAAAAAAGAAAGAAAAAAAATTACAAGGACAAATGCATGGTATGAAAATAATTTGCACAGCATATTTTTAACCAATGAACTGCATCCAATGTGAAAAGTCTGGAAGCAAAAACTGAATGGTAATGGGAGTTTTATTTTTTTAATGTCATTATAGAAGACAAAAAAAATGATATAACTGTTAATATACTCCTACTGTAATGTACGTAAACTCTAAAGTCCCTGAAAAAAGATGAAATGTGTTTTGACATACTAACTGGAAAGGTTTTCTTGAAGACGTTTCACCTCTCATCCGAGAAGCTTCTTCAGTTCTAAGAGCAATTGGTGGAGAGTCCCGGATTTTTTCCCCATTAATTTTCTTTTGCCTTTTCTTTGTTTAATTTGGTTATTTTGTGTTCAGTTTCCGGATATGCCTTAGCCTTTTCGGGTAAGGTAGTTGTTTGCAGTCATTTGATAAGTTAAAATCTCTCTGTGACTGTCTATTTTACCTTTGATGAAATTTTTATAACCATAATGAATGATTGTTTAACTTAAACATAGTGACACCAGTGTGTAAAGTGTAAAAGGTCAAAAAAAGCAACTCATCATGCCCCGATCTAAAGAAACTCAAGAACAGATGAGAAACAAAGTAAGTGACATCTATCTAAAGGCTTATAAAGCCATTTTTAAGGCTTTGGGTCTCCAGCGAACCACAGTGAGCGCTATTATCCACAAATGGATTGCGTTTGGGATCATTACTTTGCGTCCACACTCGTTTCATCTGACTCTTGGTGGCGCTGTCACTTGGTGTTCGCTCGCTCTGCGGTAGAGTATCACTTCCTGTTCCTGCTCAAACACAGTGGTGTTTCTGAGTAGCTTATTTGCGTAGCAATTTAATTAACAACTTTTAAATACATTCTTTTTCATAGTATAATCTTCACGTGCTTCATCCGAAGCACACTTTCTGTGTACTCACTACCTAATTTATAGCCAAAGTATTCACTCACTGTCTCTGTACTGTTTCGCTAGCTTAGCTTAGCTCGTAGCCGACTCGTTAGCACCATGGCTACTTCACCTGTCCCTCCTGCACTTTCTTGCTCATTGTGTCAGATGTTTAGTTACTCCTCGGCCTCCTTTAGCAGTAATGATATCTGTAACAAATGTAGCATATTTGCAGCTCTGGAGGCCAGGATTACTGAATTGGAGACTCAGCTTCGCACCCTTCATTCACCCATAGCTAGCCGGGCCCCTGTAGCTGGTGCAGCCGAAGATAGCGTAGGCCCCGCTAGCTGTTCCCCGGCAGACCCCAAGCAGCTGGGGAAAGAGGGCGGCTGGGTGACGGTGAGGAGGAAGCATAATCCTAAACAGAAGCCCCAGGTACACCACCAACCCGTTCATGTGTCTAACCGTTTTTCCCCACTCGGCAACACACCCGGTAATTGGTGATTCTGTTCTCAGACATGTGAAGCTAGAGACACCGGCAACCATAGTCAATTGTCTTCCAAGGGCCAGAGCAGGCGACATTGAAGGAAATTTAAAACTGCTGGCTAAGGGTAAACGTAAATTCAGTAAGATCATAATTCACGAAGGCAGTAATGACACCCGGTTACGCCAATCGGAGGTCACTAAAATCAATATTGAATCGGTGTGCAACTTTGCCAAAACAATGTCGGACTCTGTAGTTTTCTCTGGTCCCCTCCCCAATCAGACCAGGAGTGACATGTTTAGCCGCATGTTCTCCTTAAATTGCTGTCTGTCTGAGTGGTGTCCCAGAAACTATGTGGGCTTCATAGATAATTGGCAAACCTTCTGGAGGAAACCTGGTCTTGTTAGGAGAGACTGCATCCATCCCACTTTGGATGGAGCAGCTCTCATTTCTAGAAATATGGACAAATTTATTAAACCCCCCAAAATATGACTATCCAGAGTTGGGACCAGGAAGCAGAGTTGCAGTCTTACACGCCTTTCTGCAGCTTCTCTCCTCCTGCTACCCCCCCCAAAAACCCATCTCCATAGAGACTGTGTCAGCTCCCAAACAGACAAAAAACAAACTAAAAACCAGCAACAAACAACTTAAACATAAACAATTACAAAGAAAGAACAATAAAGTATCCACATCTGAACCAAAGAGTAAAACAGTGAAATGTGGATTATTAAATATTAGGTCTCTCTCCTCCAAGTCTCTGTTAGTACATGACTTAATAATTGATCAACAAATTGATTTACTCTGCCTTACAGAAACCTGGTTGGAGCAGGATGATTATGTTAGTTTAAATGAATCAACACCCCCGAGTCATTCTAACTACCAGAAATCTCGAAGCACAGGCCGAGGGGGCGGTGTGGCAGCAATTTTTCACACCAGCCTATTAATTAATGAAAGACCAAGACAGACTTTTAATTCATTTGAAAGCCTGATGCTTAACATTGTCCACCCCAGCTGTGAAACTCAGAAACCAGTCTTACTTGTTATCATCTATCGTCCACCTGGGCCTTACACAGAGTTTCTGTCTGATTTCTCAGACTTTATATCTAATTTAGTTCTGAGCTCAGATAAAATAATTATTGTGGATGATTTTAACATCCATGTAGATGCTAAAAATGACAGCCTCAACATGGCATTTAATCTGTTATTAGACTCAATTGGTTTCTCTCAAAATGTAAAAGAACCCACCCACCACTTTAATCACACTCTAGATCTTGTTTTAACATATGGCATAGAAACTGAACATTTAACAGTGTTTCCTGAAAACCCTCTCCTGTCTGATCATTTCCTGATAACATTTACATTTACAATAATTGATTACACAGCGGTGGAGAGTAGACTTTATCAAAGTAGATGTCTTTCTGAAAGCGCTGTAACTAAGTTTAAGTATATAATCCACCCACTGTTACCATCTTCAATGCCCTGTACCAACATAGAGCAGAGCAGCTACAGTGGGGCAAAAAAGTATTTAGTCAGCCACCGATTGTGCAAGTTCCCCCACTTAAAATGATGACAGAGGTCAGTAATTTGCACCAGAGGTACACTTCAACTGTGAGAGACAGAATGTGAAAAAAAAATCCATGAATCCACATGGTAGGATTTGTAAAGAATTTATTCGTAAATTAGGGTGGAAAATAAGTATTTGGTCACCTCAAACAAGGAAAATCTCTGGCTCTCACAGACCTGTAACGTCTTCTGTAAGAAGCTTTTCTGTCCCCCACTCGTTACCTGTACGAATGGCACCTGTTTGAACTTATCTGTATAAAAGACACCTGTCCACAGCCTCAAACAGTCAGACTCCAAACTCCGCCATGGCCAAGACCAAAGAGCTTTCGAAGGACACCAGGAAAAGTATTGTAGACCTGCACCAGACTGGGAAGAGTGAATCTACAATAGGCAAGCAGCTTGGTGTGAAAAAATCAACTGTGGGAGCAATCATCAGAAAATGGAAGACATACAAGACCACTGATAATCTCCTTCGATCTGGGGCTCCACACAAGATCTCATCCCGTGGGGTCAAAATGATCATGAGAACGGTGAGCAAAGATCCCAGAACCACACGGGGGGACCTGGTGAATGACCTGCAGAGAGCTGGGACCAAAGTAACAAAGGTCACCATCAGTAACACACTACAACGGCAGGGAATCAAATCCCGCAGTGCCAGACGTGTTCCGCTGCTGAAGCCAGTGCATGTCCAGGCCCGTCTGAAGTTTGCCAGAGAGCACATGGATGATACAGCAGAGGATTGGGAGAATGTCATGTGGTCAGATGAAACCAAAGTAGAACTTTTTGGTATAAACTCAACTCGTCGTGTTTGGAGGAAGAAGAATACTGAGTTGCATCCCAAGAACACCATACCTACTGTGAAGCATGGGGGTGGAAACATCATGCTATGGGGCTGTTTTTCTGCCAAGGGGACAGGACGACTGATCCGTGTTAAGGACAGAATGAATGGGGCCATGTATCGTGAGATTTTGAGCCAAAACCTCCTTCCATCAGTGAGAACTTTGAAGATGAAACGAGGCTGGGTCTTCCAACATGACAATGATCCAAAACACACCGCCCGGGCAACAAAGGAGTGGCTCCGTAAGAAGCATTTGAAAGTCCTGGAGTGGCCTAGCCAGTCTCCAGACCTCAACCCCATAGAAAATCTGTGGCGGGAGTTGAAAGTCCGTGTTGCTCGGCGACAGCCCCAAAACATCACTGCTCTCGAGAAGATCTGCATGGAGGAATGGGCCAAAATACCAGCTACTGTGTGTGCAAACCTGGGCCCTGTGCTTCGTACGTCGCTTACTACATCCAAGATCAAATGAAACATCCAAGACCAAACCATCGCGCTAACCGTGAGCGCGCTAATCCGGTTCCCCGAACACACCTGCTGTTGACGATTAGTACAGCTGGATGAAGTAATGTGCGATCACTGGGTGCCGTAAAAGGGGATACGCATCGATAGCAGAAACAGTGATCGGCAACCTTCTGATTGGTCGGCGAAAATGTCGAAGGAGTGCGCTCGGCTCGGTATTTTTCGGCAGCAGAGCAAGAACTCCTGAGTGAGGGATTTCAGGAGTTTCAGAGTTTAATCAGAACGCAAGGGAACACTGCAAAGGCTGCAAAAGCAAGGAGAGAGGGCTGGCAGAAACGCTAAAAAGAAACACAAAAATGTCAAGAAGCTGTTGTATTATTAACTGCAATAGCCG